TACTACAACAAATTGCACTAGTTTGAGATTCTTTTATATTGTGTGTATTTCATAATTCCTCGAAAATTTTACATCGGAGCTACAACTGCAAAAATCCACTGACAGGCGAGGATTGTACCGCGCAGGCGTATAAAGTAGAGCTACTCCTAGCTCTATAGATAGTAGGTGCATCTCTTTTTATCCCTGACCCATTCTTATATAAAATACTACACAATATTTGGCCATTTTCAATGCACTACTCCATCTTTTCCTCACACAGCTACACCACTGCCTGGAATTGAAGGTATAGCTGGAGCAGAGCCAGGATTCCTTTATTGCCTCCTTTAGATAGCATATTAAACTGTGTTGCTTCTTTGTAAGTTTGATCTTTCACAGTGCATAGTGTCATTCCATCGGGTCTTCTACTTTAAAGCTCTGGACATGAAAGCAGCTGCAAATTTGGCTAGATGGATTAGATTGTTACTTTGTTACACCATGCCTGGTGTTTCTCCTTCATTCAGGGCCCATTCTGTTTGTGGTACTGCATCATAAGGTGCTAACCTTGCAGATATTTTGAGATTGGTGGATTGGATTGTGTCCAAACGATAACCGATAATTTTCTCTTATTCTCTGGAACAAAATATGAAGCCTCTTGTCTTGCCTTAAAAAACTGTAGGTTATTCTAGATGGGTGTAACAATCTGAAATGTTGGTTAAATTGTGCATCTGTACTGCTTTGTGAGGTTTGTAGTAAAGGCAGTATAGGAAAACAATTGCCCTCCTGTCTTTATTAAAATTCAGATTGTTACAAAAGTCTAAAATGACCTGCATTTTTTTTTCTATTTTGTGATTATCATCATTTTTTTTCCAACCTCTCTCCTCATTAGACAATTATCAAAATTGTGTATTTGCTTTAATAGAGTGTTCTGGACAGGGCAAAATAGCACAAAGTTAAAGCACAGATGTAATCATATTTCCACTTCATTTGTTTTAAAAAGTTAATTACATTTATTGACACTTTTTTTTTAAAATTCTTTATTTTTAGCGTGCAAGGTAAACAAACAGGCTGGGTATGCCACCACTGTATAAACAAGTTTTGATGTAGGTTCACATGGTTACATTTTCATGGCACGTAAGAAAAACTGCACAAAGCAAAGTTACACAAAGCATTTTTCCCATTTTTGTGGGTAATAAACATGCTAAGACAAAAAATGTCAGTTGGTGATGAGCCAGGAAGATTATAGAGAGCTTCTCGTACAGGCTGACAATGTTTCCAAGCTGGGAAGATAATAGAGCATGATAGACTATAAATAGAGCTAATTTGGGGGCTTGGTAGCTACTGGATACATAGGTTTACGGCATCGGGAGGTAGCCCCTGAAGAGCAAGAAACAAGCATTGCTCCATAACATGGTACCTAACTCGTATAGGGAGTTATCTGGGATAGAGGCTTATTGCAGGTTGTAATGGGTATCTCTGAGTAGCTGGTTGGTCAAAGGGAGTGATGAGGGTAAGGTGTGTCTTAGGTGGTCTAGAACCGTTCCTTGAGTCCGCTCAACCTATGCCCACTAGTGGCAGCTCGCCAAACCTAGTCCTTTGTGCTGCAGGGGAGGGTTCTTCCAGTCCCAAGTGCTTGTGTGGGCTTCTAGCTTTATGTGGGGGACCCACCAGTCCCGAGTTCTCAATGTCAGGTCCATACTCTCGTTACACCTGAGGTCAGCGAATGAAGCATGGGATAGTGCTGTAACAATTGGGGTCCGCCGGTTTCTCTGTGGCGCTGTCTGTGTCCAGTGCAAGGGAGGGCATCATGCTTTCCACGGCTGCTTGGCTCGGCCCGGTTGGTTGCGAGATGTATGGAGGGTTTGCGGCACTCTGCTTCTTGGCTCTGGTGCGTGGTTCCCTCTTGTGCGTTTGCTTGTGGAAGTGTGCTTGTTTCTAGTGAGCTTCAGTACAGGCTTTGGACATGAGCTGGTCATGCGTGAGGTTGGCAGCAACTTGCAGTGGAGGAGAGCAGTTTTCGGATTCTCGTGCCCAGTGACATCGCTTGCTGCTGGGGGAAGCCGTCTTCGTCTGTGCCATCTTGTGGCTTTTTTTCTTTTGCGGGACTGCAGGTCTACGGCTTTGGTGCCCGGGCAGCGCCTGAGTACTCATCTAGAATTTGGGCAGTTGTCTGTTGTCTTTTTGCCAGTTTTGCCCAGAACGCATCGAATATGGCATCCAGTTGTCTCAGGATATCGGGCCCTTCTGCTCCGTTCTGGGTAGGGCACGTGGCGTCCGCCATATTGCAGGCCTCTGCTGCTGCCATCTGCTCGCGTGGTCTCACCACCTGTGGCTTGTGTAGCTTGGTCGCCTCCCTGGGGTGGACCGGGATCACCCCCGCTGGTCTAGGGGCACGATGGCTAGATATCTGCGTCTCCGCTGTGCCGATATAAGGGCGAGGAGAGCGGCCGCCTCTCCCTGCCTCCATCACTCGTAGGCCGCGGCATGCTGCTTCGGGTTTCGCCTCTGTGGGAAACTCTCGGTTGAGGTGTCAGGAGGTTTGCCAGGGTGCCCCTAGTTTGGGTATCGCACTCCGGCACGTCTTTAGGCATTGTTCTGGCGAGTATTCCCATTTGTTCAACATGAGTAGTGGGAGCCTAGCCGACATGCGACTGCTCAGCTAACTGTTCAGACTCCGACCCCCAACACATTTTTTTTAAATGATATATATTGATTGTTTTTTGAAAATTTACTTTTTCTATTCCTAAATTTTATCTTGATATAAACTGCTGCTCAATCTGTCAATCATTTAGTTATCACATGACTCCTTATTACTATGACTAGCTAAAGAAGCAATAACTAAACTCAATAGTGTCAAACAGATACAAAAAGTGCACAAAGTTGTGTGAATAGATTACACATGGGTCTTCCAAATATAATGGAGTCAGAGCTCTGTGTTTTCAAAATCAATAGCATTACAGAGGCACCGAGTCTCATAGGGCATCAAGGAAAGTCAATCAAACATGACTTTCCAATTCTTAACATTATGTGCAAAATCAAAGTGATTGAAGGTAAATGATCTCCTGGTACTGCATAATATCTCTAATTATCCACAGCCTGGATGGTAAAAAAGTATTATATGAGATTTTGTTATCCTGGCAATTATTTAAAATTCCCTCGTCTGATATCAAAGCAATGACATTCTTTATTATGGAAATGTCTGTCTAATTAGCTTCAAAGTCGCTTCCAGTGGAAAAACCTATTCTAGAAGAAAGCCATTTGTTTAAAAGAAGCATAATGTGTCCGTCAGGTATTTCCTAGCCAGAAGAAGTACCTCCAGCCCTGCATAGAGAGCAAAGGAAAAACTGAATAATACTCACATTATTTGATGTATTGAAAATTAGCTCTTCAGTTTATCTTGTTTAATGCATTGTAGCTGCTTAAATTACAGCTCGACCATGACCTGGACTGGACAAGATCACGTGTATGCAACAACGTATTTAGTATAATCACAAATAGGTTGTAATATGGAGTAAACCATAAAAAAGATATAGTTGATATTTTCATTAAGGTAAATCTGAGATTTAAAGGGCTCTGTGGATTATAGCTACATAGCTGATCCATGTATAGCATATACATGTATATGTTCTAGTAATGTACAGTGAAAGCTGAATAATTAATAATAACCAATGTCTGTAAAACGCAAATCTGATCCCTCCATTTGGACTTTTACTCTGCTTAATGATTACAAGTTCCACTTCATGTGATTTATGAATAATTATATTTTATAAATATTTCTTCTTCTGGGTACAATATGTGTTTCTACCATAGAGACCTTTTTATGCTTTTTAATTTGTCATCACATTCATAGCATTCCTAGAGTATGACCAAGGACGCCTTCTTCTCAAGGCATTATTTACTTCATTTACTTTCCTAGTGTCAATGTCCAATGTTTTCCATAAAAAGTTAAATAAATAGTCAGATGTTATTGGATCATCTGATATTTGTTGATAGACTTGTGTTTGACAACAACAAATGTTTTTTTTGAGAGATTTTATCATTTGAACCAATATGGCTGACATTGTTTGCTCTGGGACACATGTCCCTATGTGTCAGGGTAGTGGTCCGGTGCCCGGGACCCAGATACTGTCCGGGCGGCGGTGCGAGGACCAGGACCCAGTATGCCTGAAGAATGAGTAGGAGTCACAGTGTGGAAATGGACTATCAAGGCCTGGTGCAGGGTAACCACACGTCCTCTGGCGTTGAGCACCAGCGTTTGCGCGGCCACATACGAGAACCCTGATGCAGCTACAGCGGATCCCAGGAACTAGGAGCTTGATATGCAGACCTCCCAGGAACTGGCTAGGGGGGCTCTGCAGCAGACATGTATCTAGTACAGAAACAAGGCAAGGCTAGGATAGTCACCAAACATGTACACAAGACAGAACTAATAGAACCCAGAACCAGTGCAGGACAGAAAGCAGAACCCAGAACATGTACACAAGACATGAGGAAAACAAGAACAGGGCAGGACAGGACTGTACATGAACTGGGATTACAAAATAAAACAAGACAAGATATAATCGGCAAAACAAGAGGAGACATAACTAAGCACTATATATGAAAAGTATGGGGATTTAGTTACATTTTATGATCATACATTGCATAAGCCTGCCACAAAGCCAATGTACCCCATATTCGGCAGGTCCTACACTGCCTAATGTTCGCTAAAAGAACCATACTAAACCACAATAGTACTTACCTGCAAGAAAGGGCAGAGACTTGAAACACTGCTGCAGGTCCAGGCTGAAACAAAAGGAAAGTGGAAAACAAACAGGTGTGACAACATAAAACAAACATATAAATGAATCCAGGAGACTGGGAATTCCAGGGACGGAATAATGGAATGAACCCAGAAAATCCAGCATAAGAAAAACCAGACATGAAATATAAAACCAAAAAACTAAACAAGAATTGTAAAAAGAGTACTGGATACCAGAAGCCATCACCAGACTGATCCGCAGAACAAGGCATGATGTGACACTATGGTCCTCAACGGACCATACTTTAAAGAAACCATGCCACTATGCAGAGTTGTTTATCAAATAACTTCGGACAGGTATATAAGTCATTCAGCCTGTGCTTTATCTGAGCTCTGTGGAACTTTAGTGGCCGTCGATAAAAAGCAGTTTTCCTGTTACTGTACAGTTTTACCTCTTGGAGCTCAACAGCAACTGATAAAACTGTCATTTAGCATGGAACTAGATGTACACAGGCATACAGCTAATGCTATGCTAAGCAATAGCAGTGTTAGAAAGTAAAAGATAATTTGTACAGAATAAGTGGGACAAGATAATGTGCTACACTCCCTTCTGTAACCATTTGAGAAGAAGGGAGGGGGGAGTGAGGAGATGCAGCACAAAGAAATTCTGTATAACTGAAGTCAGTCAGCCATCAGTGAGAAAGGTATGTTTGTTGGACAGTGCTGTCCCATTTCTGTATGATTGAAGTGTGCTGCTGTACAGGAGATATTTTCAATGCACAAGTATTATCTAATTACAGCAGTACACCAGGAGGCAGCTGAAGGAAAGCATTCACTTCTTCAGCTACATCAAGTGGCAGAGTCACTAACTGTCGTAACCCATTTTATTCGCTATTGTTCATCTGTTCTTAGCAAGGCCTCAAACACGATGGTACGGCATGAACTGTTGTTTACAATACGTGAAGAGGATATACATGGCTGTTGTTTGCCGACCACAGTGATGAAGAGGACCTCATTCACGATGACGAAGATCAGAGTTTCTTGCTTGAAGCTGTTGACAGTGTTACCCAGGAAGTGATCATAGAGCATCCTGATCCTTCATCATCAACTTTACCCAGCTCTAGCACAAACCTAGCTTGTACAGCTCTACCTGTCAAACCTTTGATGTTCTATGGCTTACCGAAACGTAAATGTACACTCCAGACTTCAGCAGTGAATTCTGAAGAAAGAGAGCAACTGCCTCTGCCGAAAAAGTCGTGATCTAGTTCAAAAACTCTGTCATTGATCACTGGTTTTGACTTTAGGTGGAAAAGGGGAGCAACTAAAGTCATAACAAACACTACTGAATATGACTATGGACAAGTGAACTTGAAATTAGATGACTCTGCAGATATTGATGCTGTTGAAGTCTTTGAACAAGCATCTGATTTCAGCACTTTAGTCTCACTCGTTGTGGAGCAAAGTGAGCTTTATATGAAAGAGAAGGGCATTCCATTTCAGACAAATGAAGATGAGCTTCGAGCCTTCTTTGGAATATGTCTTGTTATGGGGTATCATGTTCTGCCATCGATCAGAGACTATTGGTCTACTCAGCCAGATCTTCCGGTACCAGTTATAGCAAATACAATGAGTCGTGCTCGCATTGAAGCAATTCGCTCTGCTTTGCACTTTACAAATAATGAGGACATGTTACCTAGAACTCATCCCCAGTGTGATAGAGCTTTCAAAGTCCGTCCATTGATCGAGCACTTCAATCGATGCTTCCAGGCTGTGAGAAATCCAAGCAAGCAACAGTCGATTGATGAGCACCTGATAAAATATAAAGGTCAAAACATCATGAAGCAGTACATCAGAAACAAGCCTGTGAAATGGGGATTCAAGCTATGGTGCAGATGTGATGCTATCTCAGGCTACCTTTATCAGTTTGGCATCTATACTGGACGAAAAACAGACACATAACATGGTCTTGGAGAGAGTGTCATTGTTATGCTGACAAAACAACTAGAACAGCTATGCTGTGAGGTTTTCATCGACAATTTTTTTTATTCTCCACTGCTGCAATACGAGATGTTGCAGAAGAGGATCTAACTTTGTGGCACAGTTTTTGTAGACAGAAAAAATATGCCCAAAAACTTGAAAGCTGACAAAGAAATGAAACAAGGAGATGTGGATACTATGAGTGCAAATGGCGTAATGTGTAAAATAAATGGATAATAGATCAGTGACACTGTTGTTATATTTCCTTACATGCAAAAAGGATGATATGACGCATGTGCTGAGAAGGCAGGCAGGATGTGCAGAAAAGCTGCATAACCCATGTCCAACCATTGTTACTATTTACAACAAGTACATGGGGGGTGTGGACCTGATGGATCAGAAGAAAGTGTCCTATGAGACAGACTGGAAGTCAAAAATAAAGTTTTATTTTAGGATTTTCTTTGACCTCCTAGATATTGCTGTAAACAACAGTCACTGCATTTCTATACAAGCAAATGGAGAGGCACCCAGAGTACAAAGCGATTATACCACTGGAATATCGGCAGCTGATAGCAAGGAGTCTGGTGGGTGGATACTCCAACAGAAAAAGAAAAGCTCCGTTAGCACCAGTCAGAAGTTCACGAAGTGTCCTTCCAGCACCAAAGCCGAAACATTCCATGATTAGAAGCAATAGACGCAAACGATGTGCTCAATGTGCCAAACATGGGAATGAAAATCGCACGGACAGCCTCTGCGACACATGTAACGTGCACCTTTGTTACACAAAGAAACGCGACTGCTTTGCGGACTATCATAGCCTGAACTGTTAGGCTATCACATATTGAGATTTTTGCATTTTGAGACAGTGACAGTACCTTGATGCATATGTTTTTGGTTTTGGCCTACCATGAGGCTGTTAGCATATGTACATAAATACATGTTATTGTTGAAATTGTTTCAAGCAAGTATCTGAATAAATGTCAAAATAGTTTAAGAGTAGCAGAATTTGACTCAATTTATTATGACCTTCTTTAGAATTCATTGTAAAATAAATTTAAAGTTACAGAAACAGACAATGCTTGCAACCTTGTCTCCCTTGAGGACCATAGGGACACATTTGTCCCGTGTCATAATTCCTCCCCCAAAAATGACACAAGTTTGGAAATTGTTTTATTTATTGTTCAAATACATTCTTAAAGGGAAAAATATATAATTCTTTTTATATTGATTACGGTAATCTTATGGTCCTCAAAGGGTTAAGGGTAGTGGGAATTGGCACCCAGATCACTCCAGTGGGCAGAAGTGGTCTGGGTGCCTGGAGTGTCCCTTTAATAAGGCAGGGATGACCAAGGTCTTGCATACCGAAATCAACACCATGACCTGGTCCGACCATGCCGACCTAACAATAACACTGCACAAACTGAAATACAATTCCAATAGGAAATGGCGACTAAACACTAACCTACTAAAAGATGAAACCCTAGTCACATCCACCAAGGTAGTACTAAAGGAAGACAAACAGGGAGACAAATCCAACAACAATATGGGCAGCCCACAAAGCGGTCCTTCGAGGACACTTTATCAAAGCTGCCACACACAAAAAACAACACAAAACAAAACTATTACTAGAACTACAATCACAGCTTAGGAAATTAGAACAACAACACAAAACAAACCCCACTGAAGCTAAACTCACTGAACTCACAGCACTACGACACTCCATTAAGGAACTGACTCTAGAGGACGTAGCTCGCTCCAGGCGACCATATTACGAGAAGGCTAACAATATGGACTCGCTGCTGGCTAGGACCCTGAGACCTAGACAGGAGAGTAAACCGATAACAAAGATAAGATGGCAAATGAGAGCAACCACACCAAAAGCAATCAACAAGGTATTCACAGAATACTTCACTGCTCTCTACAATCCCTCCCCACAACACTCTGAAACCAACACAGAATACATGACACAGATAGATGACTTCCTCTTAGGCTTGGTTATGTAGACAGTATCGAGACCCTCCAAGAGCCTATCTCATACGATGAGGTAGAGAGAGCCATTTCAGCACTCCACGGCAATAGGGCACCAGGCCCCGATGGCTACAACCCCTGAGATTCCCTTCCTAATCACCAACGGTACACTACAGGGTTGCCCACTATCCCTGCTCCTATTTGCGCTCACACTCGAGCCGCTGTTATACCCAATCAGGTCAAACCAACAGATACAGGGAGTGACAATAGCACATAAGCAGTTCAAAGTGTCGGCATACGCTGATGATGTGCTGCTCACCCTCATCAATCCAACGCGCTCCCTGGCCGCACTAACCCCGCTCTTGGAGAGATACGGGAATATTTCAGGATAAAAAATAAACCTAACCAAGTCGGTGGCCATACCCTTCCACATGACAGACCAAGACACACAACACATTCGCCACACCTATAACATCAAAATAACAGATGCCTTCACATACCTTGGCATTCAACTCACAGCAGACCCCACTCAAATATTCCACCGAAACTACACACCACTATTCCATACAATCATAGGAGTAACTCGAACACTGGACGGCTAAACCAATCTCATGGCTTGGCCGCCTACACACGATCAAAATGAACGTGCTGCCCAGACTACTGTTTCTCTTCCAGGCCCTCCCGGTAATGGTCACCAAAGGAGACCTCACTAATATACAAAAAGCTATAGACATGTTTATCTGGCAGAAAAAAAGATTGGCTTGAGGCTTACTATACCTACCTAAACACAGAGGAGGACTAGGCCTGCCCAATCTACATCAATAATATTTAGCAGCGCAATTGACTCTAATAATTCACTGGCACTCCCCACCGGAGCAAAGACAATGGGTAGAAATTGAATCACTACTCACAGGAGCAGACATGCCCCAACTTTACATATGGGTCCCCAAACAACACCACACTCTCCTGAGGACCACCTGCCCGTCCATACTAAATTCAATCCAAATATGGGACCAAACGGCACTGAGATACAACCTAAGGAACCCCTTATCACCCATGACCCCAGTGCTCAGGAATAGGCAATTACCCCCAGGAATAAGAGCGCAAGATTTCAGGGGGTTGGAACACGCAGGACTCCAACACCTCATACACCTCTACGTTAACAATGACATTGTCACATACGAACACCTACAAACACTAACAACACTGACAACACAGGATTACTTCTGATACATTCAAGTAAAGACTTTGCAAACACCAAGGAAGTCAGGGCAGCTGCAAAGACGCCAATGACTTTCTTTGAAAAGCTTTGTTTCGATGAAACATCGCAAGCTGATCACATTTCTATACCAACATCTTAGCACGAAAACAGGGGAGAAGGGACAATTGAGATACACAGACTTATGGGACGCTGACCTAGGAGAAGAGATAGAGGGTACTGATTGGCATGACATCTGGGAAGCAAGCACCAAAATATCCATCTGTGTCACCCTGCAAGAGCAATTCTACAAGACATTATTCCGCTGGTATAGGACACCTGCCAAACAATGCCACATGAAATTGAGCACTACAGATGTGTGCTGGAGGTCATGCAGGCAGAGGGGAAGCTACCAACACCTGTCAGAAAGTGTGGGATATTTGGGAACAATTTGACACCTTGACCTAACCCAGACAAAAAGGGGGAAACCTCAACAGCACCCAACCAACACTGCCTTGGGCCCACGACAGCGAACCCAAAGTACACCCACCGACTATGAGGCCAGAATCTAGAAAGCCAACACCAAACAATCACCAAGCATGACACCAAGCATTCTACTACCCTAGATCGTCACAAAAAGGGCACCCATAGGCCATCAATGATACAAATCAGATAATTATAATACTTCCTTAGCACAACACACACACAAAAAAAAATGCAACCAAACATCAAAGAGGGGGAGACCGCAAGGAGCAGAATTGGAATGGGAGAGCGGAATACACACCCCCAGACATCGGGGGCTTTCCTGGGGAACACGCTGGCTACGGTCATGGCAACCAGCCTACAGAAGGAACCATAACCAGGAGGCATGGGGAGAGGCCCTGGTGGCGGGGTGGGGATGGAGATGGGGAGGAGGGATAGGGGTTCTACAAATGACCCTAACTGAAAGACAGATGGAACTGCAAATGATAATTGTTTTTACCAAATGGAAATTGTTGCGTTTAAAAGGTTATATTTCTTTTCATTTTACTTACTATTAACGTAAAAGCAAAAATATTGACAGAATGTAACAAGGCACTAAACTAAAGTATATTGTCATAGCTAGCTTTGCGAGTCATATCCATACTCCGCAACGATACAGAGACTGTCATTGGCTTCTGCGCAAGCCTATTTGTACGCAATATGTTACACTCATGTCAACCAAAAATAAAGATTTTTAAACAAAAAAAACCTTATTGTAAAATCTTGTGATTCAATAGAAGTACAAAAAGAATTGAATGTAGTATTGAAATTCTGCTTTGATAAGGGCATAATTTCATTAGACAGTAAACCTTATTTGCATGAGACTCATCCTACCATAAATCTTTACTAAAGATTCATAAATATCCAGAGGGCCCCACAGGTCAGTCCATAGATCCAGTTATGAATTCCATTTTGAGTAAACCTGCCATCTTTCTTGATAAAGTACTATGTCCCTCACTAACCAATGTAAAGTCTTATTTAAGAGATATCACCAGATTAAGATTATAGATGTGATTATCATGTACCATTCACCTTGCTTACTGATGTAGAAATCGCGTATAGCTCAATTATAAATGAGGAAAGAGTTGATGCTAGTATAGCTGCTAAATTCTCACTTCTTTAAAGAAAATCTTTTAATGGTCTTTAAAGGTGTTCACTGGGAGGGGGGACATTTCCTGCAGTCCCTGGTGGTCCCACTGGTGAAAATGAAGTCTAGCATCCCCAGGAGCTGCTAGAGTTCACTCTTGCGAGATTGGGAGCATTGCCGTGGTAACCAAGGCAGCGCTCCGAGCTC